GCTGTTCCTCTATGAGTGTGTGAGTGTGTGTGTGTGTGTGTGATTGAACATAGCGCCGTGACTATATGCCACACAAATGTAATTAAGTGTTTTTCTGCCTGGTGCCCTGGTGCACATTTTTTCACAATTTTCATTATTGCTTTTCTATTTGCTGCATTTTCTTTTCGATAACATGCCACTCTCTGCGCTCTCTCCAACTTCCACATTTAATTACAGGATAAACGGATTATTAGACAGTGGAAAATAAAAGATTTCAATATGATCGATTGATTTCAGTTGAATAGCGACGAGCTGGCGTACCCGGAAAGTTACTTTTCCAGTTTCATTGTTGTTGTCGTTGTTGTTGCGACCAGCTGACAAAGTAATTTGCTAAGTGGCGTTATTGCCAAGTAACTTTTCCAAGAATTCGCATTTGAAACACAAATTGTTTAGAAATATGCAAACTTTGTTGAAAGTCCAATCCATCTCTGCTGCTGTTTGGTGAAATTAAAGCATTTTTTAATTTAAAAGTGGACGGTTGTTTACTTCTAAGTATATGTAAAAATATATATAAAGTTTTTACATGTAGTTGTAGAATCATCACCTGTTTAAACCTGTGATTAAAAAGTTAAAGTAAGTTTAGGTTTTGTATAAGAGGTGACTTTTTAGTTTTAAACTAAGTAAATAATGAACAAAATGAATTGCTACGAACGCAGTTATTTCCAGGTCTGCACCCTTCACAGAGCCTAAAGATTTATACTCTCAGAAATAGCTCACCATTTCTAATCCTATCTACAAATACCTGCATCAATTTATAACAAAACTAGTCGTTCATATGTTTAATAATGGTTAATAATATTACGATGTTAAAGATCAACATACCAAACATCTAATTACTCTAACTTTTCCTTGAACCTTCTATTAAAAAATGACAATTCCACGAAGTCTGAAATTCGCATTGTGAACTGCCCAAAAAAAAATTATTTTTGAACATCCATTATAAACCAATGTAAACAAAAAAAGTTTTGAAGTACAAGGAAAACAATCTGTTAATAAACTTTTTCAAAATGTCGGATGTGTCGTTTAGGTTCAGGAATAAATATTTGAACAAAACATTTGCTGATAGTCTATCGTCAATAACATCAAAGCTTGCCATTAATAAGCAAGCATATGTTATCGCTTTTAATTACAATTTGATACACAATATTTATAAATTTATCGAATTTTTGTTTTCCTATGACTAAGATCTCATTTACAATTATGACAAACAACTAACCTATGGAATGTTGTATTTATTGTAGAGACAAAGTTTTACTTTTACTTGGCAATCTCAGGAACGGTTCCACTAGAAAGCTATTGATTTGTATTCGCATGCTAAGGATTGGAAATGCTGTTAAAAAATATAATTTCCATTGCATTTCCACCTCTGTCGGTCAAATGGTTTCCAAGAAATCAAACAAATATTATTTAAATACAGCCCTATTTTCATTTGTATAAATACGTTTAGAAAAAGGCACAAATCTATTTCAAACTCTAAACATTTGGCTAAAGTGCCGTGCATTTCAGTGCAGCCAAGGCTAAATCAAAAATAGCTGCATTGCTTATTTCTTTCAGCATATGCCATCCACCAATTGACCTTGCACTTGACGATAAAGCCAAGGTCAGCAGAACCGCAAACTAATTCGAGCAAGAAGCGTCAATAAGATGAGCGGTCGAAGTGGCCACAAAAGCAAAAGAAAGCCAAAAGCCAGCACAAAAGAGCACAACTTGGGAATGCGCACAGAAAAATCAATTGTTCATTTGCATATGCATGAATTTTCCACAATTGTTGTGCCGCCAAGTGCAGAAAGGCTGATTCGGCGCTAACGACGACGACAGCGACAAACATTCGTACGAGTATATATTTAACCATGTTCATGTCCAGTAGAAGCAACTTGGCCAACTGCCTTTTGGGCCACATCTGGTTTATTGCACGGCCGACCCCAATATTTATTTATTTGTTTGTTTGGGCGCAGCGCATTCACTCAGCGCATTCAGGCATTCATCCACGCAGACTGCCTTTGTTTTTTCACGCTTATCCATGCTTTTCCATGCTTTTCTACGGTTTTCGGCTTTATTTACTTGCAAAGTGAATTTCGATTTTCGCGCGTTAGTCGCTTGGCCAGCTGAACGGCGGCAGACTCTTGGCCAGCTGCCTGCAAACTTTTCAAATTGCATGAAAAACTAATTCCGCAAACTATTTGCAAAAGTAGCAAACAATGAAGCAAAAAAGTTGAGAGCACTAATTTTGCTTGTGTGTGTGCTTAGGAAAGTTGCCGCCGAAACGATTTAAAAATTCATTTACGCCGCAAAAGTGATAGCCAAATATTTGTATATATGCTAAGTATATAAGTAGGTATATGGAATAAACGGTCGCTCATATTGAAACTCGGACATAAACAGATTACGATTTAATCAAATGATAGCCTGTCTGGCCATAAGCACAGCACCCAGTAATAAAGTCAATAATTCAATGAAGATAAAATCGCATGCGAAGCGCTACCGGAAAATCCGTCTGTAGGACGTGTGGCTGTGGAAATAAATGCCAGAAAAAGGAGAAAAATGCATGTGAAAATATTAGTGCTGTAGTTGTAGTCGGTTTTGTTTGTATGTTTGGCAACATGAAAAATGTTATATTTTTATACCATATACTATATATACAAATACATATGTATATGTCTGTGTGGGGACACATTACGATAGTGGGCAGAGGGAACGAAAATGAGAGAAAAATGGGTTTAGTTTCATAAAAAACTATCATTGTCAGATTTGGGTCATTTTATGGGTTAAATTTTGTGGTTGTTTTTTGTCGACCAGCATATTTTTAAGGGCCAGACATATTTTTCCGCTCTCAGTATCCCTGGATACTATATATGTATATATATATATATATATTCTGTCGCTCTTCGTTTGGCTCCTCTTACAAATAATCTGTGCGTTGCTAGAACAAATTATAGAAAGGGAAGCAGTCAAAAAGTTTGAAAAGAAAAATCGGATATGTTTCGCTAGAAAATTGCCTGTCAAATGACAAAAATGGCCTCATTTCAGCTTAATAGCTTTTGGTCATTTTTTGTGCACGAGCATGTCCCAAAACTTTTATTTGGGCTGCCTTTACGTGTGTAAGTGTAGCTTAACAGATTATTCACATCGACCCCTATCCCCCTTTATGGTGTAAAACATTTATGCCCATGAACATGTCGAAGCGCACGTGTTTGGCTCACAATGGGCGGGCTTAAGTTGTTAACCTCATACATTTGAATCGCTTTTGTTTGAAGACAGGCATGGGAAAAAGGATCCCAATTTGTCAACATTTTTCCCAGTAGGTCGACATAAAAATTTATATATTCAAACTATCCTCACAAATTAGAGCAATTAGGGTACTTCTGCGTTTTCCATAAATAAATTGTATCATTAGTATTATATATTATCTATCAATATTATCTACATAGCTAGTCCGAATATAGATTATAGTTGCATGCAGCTGTTTTATGCATGCAATAACAAAAGGAGGATGTCAAAATTGAGGGGAAAACCTCTAAATCGATTGCCTTCTGCCGACAAATACAGAAATACAGAGACATAAATCAAACTCATTTATTTCACTTGGCCTTGAAGACGGTGTGTTTATGATATTTTATCGTATAATTGGTTGTATTCTTTAAGTCTTTTTTGCTACCGACTTTGAATTTGCACAATATTTAATTGAAGTGCCTACAAATAATTGTTTGCGCATTTTAATGCGCCAATTACAAACTATTTAAAAACACATAAATCGCTTCCACACAATTACACAAATTCCAAAAGATAACGCTTTTCGTTTTAATACTCGCACACACAGTCCCCTGCATTCATTTATATAAACTCATTGCCTGATTATTTAATGAAGCATACAAATCCTGTAGAGACCCAACTGTTAACTAGGCAGCTCATTCCCATTCCCATTCTCAGCTCGTTATCTCCCTTGTTTAGCCCTGCCAATGTCCAATGGGGCAGCGACATAAAACTGTCAAAAAGCGCCTTTATAAATCGCTAAACTAAATGCCTTTCATAGTTTAATGTCACCTCAGGGGATTTAAGTCAAATACACTCTTACACATAGAAATAGAACCAGGACTAGACAACGTGTCTCTATCATTTAGCCCGTCAGCAAATGGCGATGGCGATGGCGACAACGACACCGGCCATGTCGCTCGCATTCAGAGAGCGCGCTTGTCGCACCCGAAGTCATTAAAACCGCATGAATTATGCAGTAGTCCAACTGAACTACTTGCCAGTTCCTTCGGTAGACCAACTGTCCGATACAAGCCCTTGCCCTTGCCCTTGTTCTGGTGCTGGTACTGGTACTGGGGCTAAGGCAGAGGCTGGGCCTGGGCCTGGTCCTGGTCCTGGTCCGTTGTTAGTACGTTTGGTTCAAGTTGTTTGTTGTTTTAATTAACTAATTAAGATTTTTCTATGTCGCTTGTCGGCGCGCCGGTGCACTCAACAGCGATTGTTCAAAGGTTTGGATAGGAAAAATGTTTGCATTATTTGTTGCAGCCAAGTTGTTAAGGACCCAATTAACCTTTTATGGCCATTTGGCACAATAACAAGATCGCAGTAACAATGCCAAGGCAACAGCATCTCTTAAGATAGTCAACCGGAGCAACTTGACCGACCGCCTTCGTCAGCATAGTCCGCAATGTTGGCGATGTCTTCGTCGAGCTGGTTTTGTTAGACCTGCGTTTGTGCTTGTATTGAAGCTCTTAAGGCTGCAACGGCAATGTCTGCTGCTGGACCAGCCATGGTTTATGGCCGACTTATCGGGTGAAATTGTTGCTAGCCATATTTGGTGCTTATTAGTTTTAGGACTAGTCTCCAAAATGGAAGTGATGTTTCCCTGTGCCACTTTATAATTGAAATCATAAATTTCATGTACAAATTGACATTGAATATTTAAGGCCTACAACGCCAAATAGGCAATCAACGTCTTTTTTATTGCTCACCTCGATTTCGGGCTTATCAACTGCCTGTTAAAGTTCTTTGCTTGCCGTCTAAAAATTAAATTTCCAAGAAATTGAACTGCAATAAAAAAGAGGATGTACATTATTAAACTATTTTTAGTTGTGATAATTATTGTTACAAGTTCATATATTATGCATTGTAAATTAAGCATAGTGTTCTTTATAATGTGTTTAGTATCCGCTAGAAATATTTTTCAATTAACATAATTGCTGCTTTGCAAATGTATCAGTAACATATGCATGCATGATTAATAAAATTTGCATCCGAGTTTCATTTTGGAATAATGACGTCTGTTCAATACGCCGTTGATTGTGCAATGATTTTAAAGAGTTTAATTAACAGGCATGTAAACAATTTCTGATTTAACTCTCAATTGTTTGTGAGTTTGGTTAAAGATTCAAAGTTTTCTACTTCTATTAAAAAATATATTTTAGAACCTTTAAAATGAACAAAATGTATTTAAAATAATGTTCAAAAACTTCATATTTCATTATAAAGGCCTTACTATTAAATGCAAAAACTACTTTCTACTCATTAGGTGCTCTCAAAATGTTGTTGAATTTTCCCGGAAATCTAATTAATATTAAAGGCAACACCTACACAAATCAAAGAAAAATATATTTTTCAAATAATAACAACTCGTTAGAGGCATTTCACAATTAAATAGATTCAGAGAGGTTGTTTTTAGAGAATGAAGTATGAATTATGTATTTATCACAACACATGAACATTTCAGCTTAGATCTCAAGAAGTCCAACCAAACTCGTAATTACAAAAACCATTAGCCAGTGAATTAATGTTTCATTAATTATGAAAAATGTTAGCTTAATTTTTCTTTGTTCATTTGCCATGCAAGAATAAAGCATTAAAGCATTCACAATGCATTAAATGAATGTGAGATTTGGAGCTTCAATTCCATTCACACACCTAACCCGAAGGGGAAAAGCATTTATTAGCAACGCCTGACGCCATCCCAATGGATTTTTGATTTTTCTCGCCCATCCCCAGCTTCAAAAATTTGTCCATACTAACCATTCTATAGCTAGATATCCTAGATGAAGAACATATACATTTGGGGAATTGTATTGTCGGATCAGCACCTGAAGGGCAAAAGAGTGCGAATCATTTTTCGTTGATATGCGCAAATGGAGGCTTGAAAAGCCAAACAAGTTTTTGCGTAAGCCTACCTTAATTTATATATGTTTGGAAGTAGAGATTTCTAAAAGTCAAATTATAAATTATCTACTTATAACATTTACCCTGCACCGCTTTTTTGCGATGCCAAGTTGGGCGTGCACTATCTGTTAGAGTCGGTATTGTGCTACAAGATTTTAAACGCTCTTCGTTATGCTGTATATGTGGTTTTTCATGCTTCCCTCACGCTCCCCCACGAGCATTTGAAGGGGATACCATCTCCATACTGCACTTGACAACAACTGCAAGCAACTGGCAAAGTTAATTAGCAAATTCATGCTAATTTCGAGTTGTACCAATAGTATATAGCATGCACGTGTCGCTTTATATAATTAGTTTCAATATGTTGGCCAGAACTGTTACCTTGTTAGGAATGAGATAAAGCCGCTAGTTGTGCGGCGAAGTTTTTCTATGCGAGAACATGAAGCAAGGCGCATAATTCATAATGAAGATGTTGTTGAGCTATTGACGCATGCGGCGACTGCGACTGCAACTGCCTGCTGCCGGCTGCCGTTTGCCGACAAAAATCCAGCGGAGGCATTTCAAAAAAGACAAGCATCCGACCATTCGTCCCTCCTTCCTTGTCCAACAAGTCTGACAACGCAGCGCGCACTCGTTTATCACAATGGGAAAAGGCAAGGAAGAGATGCGAGTATTCAAAGCATTGCCCCGGCAGCAGTCCGCCCCACTCCTTGGCCCTTTTCTCCTCTCCATGCTGAAGTCCGCTGCATAATTACAAGTTTTATGCGCTTTTGTGCGGCGCTTCCTTGGCATGGCATGCAAGCGATGCTGAGCAAGTCTGTGACTGCAACCGGGACTGGGACTGGGACCGGGACCGGGACTTGGACTGCTGGCCTGCCTGCCTGCCTTGCCTGACAGTGTGCGTGCCTTGTCTTTTAGCCATTCTCTGAGTTATGGCATCTTGTCTATGCATTCAGTATAATGTGTATGTGTGTCAGTGCGTGTGACGTGGTCTGCGTGCCTGCTACTGCCACTGCCACTTCAGTTGTTGCTGCTATTGTTGTTATTGCTGTTGGTGAAGCTAGAGCTGCCTGGTCTTAAAATCGATTTCACTTATTGATTGTAACGACTTTGCCTTGTTGCATGATTAATTTTTATGTTGAGTCAGGCTTTTGTGTGCCGTTGATTTGAAAAATTAGTGCAAACTGGAAATTATCATAAATCAAACAGTTTCCTGATTGCATTCGAAGTGCACACAAATTGCATGATTTGCAATTTCTGTCCAATGCTGCAGGTCTCTACCCCTTCAGTATCCAGATGCAGGCCACGACGATACGACGCCGTTGTCCTGCTGCAAGCTCCAGACCAAGAAATACTCGTATACAAGAAAAAGGGAAACCTACACGTACTTACAAAAATAATTCGCATTTCTGCACAACTTGCGACTGCAGCAAGTTGCAAAAATTATTGCTGGAATTTTTATTTATTTTTTATTGATGCAATTTTTTCAGCTCGTGCTGCGAAACGGCACAATAAAAGAACTAAAGAAGAGCCTTCTTGACTACGGCAATACCCTACGCGAACTTTCTCATATTTAGTTGAAGATCATCAAAATCTAATTGAAAACTATGAAAGCTAATTAGGAAAACCATAATTTTAAATTTAATTTAAACGCAGCCGGGGTAAACTTTTCATTATTTTCATTAAAGCAGATAAGTATGTATGTACTTGTATATGCTGAACACGTACTCGTATTTTATCTATGAGATGTAGAAATTGTTTCCCTTAACAATTATGTATCCATATAGCCAATAAGCTCCTTAACACTCGGAGCATACACATTGTATTCCCATTTATCTGAGTCTAAGCTAAGCTAAGCTAAGCTTGCCTCTCTGCCAGCCGACTCGAACAAGCTGCGTTCCTCCATTTCCCTTTTGTGTTGCAGCTGGCCCTTGATTAAGTTTGTTTCATTTTAATGCACTGCCTGAGTTCGTTTTATTGTTTGGTAATTAAATTTTGTGCGAAATCGTTGCCATAAATTCTGCTCAACGATCGATATAGACCTTATTAATGCCAGTCAAATTGCTTGAGATTCTGTGGAAACCATTTATGGCGTGGCTCTTAAAGTACGACTACTCGTATATGCCTTAATTTGGACAAGAATTTGCTTGGCACTCATAAAGGGAATATACAGTAGAGTCTCGAAGAAAGTCTAACTGCTTAGAATAAGGGGGTCGTGTTAAACCAAACCCGTTTCCAGTCTGTGCAATCAATTTGGCCAGGCCTTGGCTAACAGTTAATTAACCCACATCCAATATAGTATAGTATATGCTCTTGGCAGTTTCTCTGGCAATTAGTTTTGACGAAAGCTGATCAAACAACAAATATCATTGACTCTGTCAATGCTCAATTTACAGGCATGTTTGTACATATGTATTAGAAAACTCTTTCAGACCCAGTCCAAGTTTTCTAAAAAGAAAGAAAATTTTCCCATGCTGTGAAATCAGCTTATAGGCCATTTGCTTCTCATAAAGTGAGGATGAGTAACCATTCAAGCGCGGATCGAGCATTGTGCCTTGGCTTAAAGCTGCACCAGACACACAGAAACCAGACGAACTTTCGTCTACAAGTGTAAAGTAAATAAGCGAAAAATTGCTTTATGTCTGTTTAGCTGGTTGGTCTGCCTGCTCGTTCTGGCATTCTACTGTGCATGGCCAAAACCAAAATCAATAAAGCTAAATATACGAAAATATAAATACGTATATGTACATATGTATATGCAGAAGTTTGTATGAACACTAAACAGGTTTTTCTTATATGCCGACTTAAGCGGCAGCTGCGACTATGTAAATGTTATTTGATATAGGAGTAAAGGCAAGTATAATAAAAAAGAAAACGTTGCGTGTATAAAATATTGTATGTACAATAATCATAAATATGCATATGACCTTCAGAGATGTTGGAGGCACTACCAGCAGCCCACCTTGATGCGTGGCCCAATCAATGGGCCAAGGAGCCGCAAACACTGAAAAGCAAAAAGCAAATCAAATCAACGCAATCCGAACAATTGCAGGAATTAAGTGAGCTTAATCAGGTTGTTGTTGTTGTGGTTTTTGCTTTTTCGTTAACCCATGACGCAAGCTCCCAGCTCATTTGCCGCCTTGAAATATTACAAAATAATTTGCAAGACGTAAAAACAAGAGAAAAAACCACGGAAATTACGAACATGCCGGAGCGCTGCGATTCAAAGGCAAAACTTAATGAGTTTACAAAAAAGCGAAAATGCCGCCGGCTCTAGAACCGAAAAGCACCCGCCAAAAATTATTACGAAAAATAACTAAAGTGCTCTTGTTCTTTATTAATAGTTTTGAGTTTAATTTATTTATTTATACCGCCCTGAGCGGCACGCACATTTTGCAATCATTAGTAAATAATTTACGCCATTTATTGAACAAAACCTTTTGCCGTTCTCCCATGTAAGCGGCTTAAACTTATTGGACAACATTTATTAAATGAACTGGCCGACATCGACCTATCAACAACACCATTGCATGCTGTTGCTGGTATTGCTTGAAGTGGCTTAAAAGAACAACAACAAAAAATAATATACATCGAACGCTGCCGGTGGGCGCTTCAAAGCGTGCGAAATTTGTTGTCAAGCTTTTAAGCCTATTAGGCAACCGATCGAGGTTGAGAACATAAACTACCGACCGGCCTCCCAGTCTCGAACTGCGACAACTGCAGCTCGCAATTAAACAAATTAATGTCGAACTTTTGATCGTGAATACGTTCGATTTAATGAATTACTTTGGCGTCAGTGTCGGCTTACAAATCAAATAAATACAAGTAAGTTTCCATAGAAAAGCACGCTCTAATAAAGACTATTTATAATGTGACAGCTT